CAGCTGAAAGACTGGCATTTTATGCTGAAAAAATGCTGTAAGCTATTGGAGCTACTTCCATCTCCAGGGCACACCTTCCATCACTCCTCACCAAGCAAACCAGCAAAGTGAGCATGTGGGAGACTTTAGCCTACAAGCAAAATGCTTATTCAAAATTATGCTAACGAGTGTAGCAAATTTCATTTTGAGCTGGAAATTGAGATTTCCAAATGGAAACAAGACTATCCTCTGTTTATCATGTCAAATACATTTTTTTCTTGAAATATAAAACAGACAGTTTGGGTTTCTTCTGCTTTGATGCACCGTTTTGTGAAATATATAAACAGAATATAGAAAAAATCTCAAGGCTCTGGCAACAATGGTTTCACTATCAGTAACTTGTTCATACAGTACTGAGCAGCTGCCTATAAAGCTTGCTTTGAACAAAACAAAGATGTATTTTGAACCCCTGTTATCTTGTCTAGTGTAAGAATATGAAAATAAAAGCACGCTGGTATCTAAGTTTCCCCTGCGATGCCTCTAGCTGGGTGGATATACCACTAACCCAAACTGTTTTTTCCAGCCTCACGATTTCATTTTGTTCTCTCATTTACCTTATTTACCACCAACAGAGGTCTGTTTTAGTAAAGAGGTTAATTTGTTTACTTACCTAAAAGGGAAGAAAAAAAATCAGCACATTTGTTGGCTGCAAAAATTTGGGCACCAAATCCAAAATGCAAATTGTGTTGGGCTTTGTGGGGGAAAGGGGTGAGAACAGCTGCACCACCCCACAGGAGTCTGTTCTCAAACATCATTATGAAGAAAAAGGTACTGAGGATGACCATTCTGTGGCAAGGATAGTTTAAATCTCTTCCACTCTATTTCAAACAAAAAGAAGGGAAAATACAGAAGTATGCAGTGGCACAGAGTGGGAGAAATGTTTTTTGGCTCTGGTAACCACACAGCCATGAGAGGCCACTATAATGGAAAATGCTCTGGATTTCTCCTTGGAACAGCTGCAAGGCAGTTATTTAAATGTACTCATTATTTTTAGTATTTGGCTGGTAGGAGCCACTTCTGGCAAAAGGAAAGAGAGAATGATGAATTTTTGTTGTTTTCTTGTGTAAAGAATTTCTGAAGCACTGTTGGAAGTCCCTGGTTCATTAGGCAACTGGAGCTCAAATCATTTCTTCAAAGCTTTTACTGCAAAATTCATCTCATGCCATTCACAAATAGAGAAGATACTAATCACTCCACAGAGTACATTAATAAGTTTAGATCACCACTTGTTATGTTTCCTTTTTGCAAACAGCAAAGCCCTCTGGGATGCTAAATGTTTCTTACAGAATTATTTAACTTTCCACTTACTGCATTATCAGACTAATCAGGTTTCCATGATACAATGTTGCTTATACATAGCTGAGGTATGGAGTTGTCACATGTACCACAAAATAACCCCTGCTTAAAAATCAATAAGTTCCACTGTGTTTTGTTTCTAAGAGCCGAATGGCTTATCTAACCTAAAATCACTAGATTCTGCCTTACAATAAAACCCCATTGCCAAAAATTCAAAGCATAATCTGAAAATTTTTCATTTCATTGACTTCTTTGACATATTGTGAATGGTGTCCCAGAACTGTTTTCTGTTCCAGATTTCAGCTATGGATAGCTAAACTACCCTGAAACTTTACTTATCCTTCACATTTAAACACGACTAAGATGGCTTAAATTTGTGTTCTTATTCACTACTTATGTCTGGTAACAGGGTGCTAGGGGGGCAAAGAAGATTGGAGCAGAGAGCTTCAGACAGATCAGTGCATAGAGGAGGTATGAAGAGACATGACTATTGAAAATGCGTTGCTTCAGCAAAGGGTTGTAGAGAGCACCAAAAGCAGTTCCCGTGTTGACACATTAGCAAAAAGAATACTTTAAAACTAACAGTTTCACATCTGGTATCAAGAAGTGACTTTCAAAAATTTTTTCAAAATGTCTATTTTTTGTTACCTCAGAAGACAAACCTTGAAAGAGGTACCATTTTCAATTAAATTAGCAGGAGCTTCCCTCATTGTGGTGCCACGACAAACATTAGCAGGATTTATAAAACCTGTCAGGGTGGGCTTCAGACTGCAAAAGGTCCTGCTGAGGTCTCTGGGATTCACCCCCATGGTAAATAAGAGCCTAGTTTTGTTTGCCCTGTGCAATTAAAGGACTGACAATAAGCAGAGGAATATTTATTACTTCTAAGACTGAATTGACCAAACATGAAGGAAACCAACTATTCTGGCAATGCTAAAGGAAAGTTTAAAGATAAAAGATACAAAAAGATTACAGATAAAGACATTTTAGAGTAAAGTAGCAAAACTCTTTTTGTAACTGAGATGCCATCTAGCTCATGTAGAAGGCATGCAAAGGCTACTTCCAAGTTTAAAAAAAAAATAAAAATCTTTCCCTAAAACATTAGTGTCTTAATCTCTTCTGCAGCCCACTGCAGCTCAGTTTTGAAAGAAAAAACAATGTCCTCTCCCCACCCCCCCCCCCCCCC